GGCGGTAGGACTGATGCAGGTAGCTGCTCCTGCGTGTGAATTCGGACCCAGGCTTGGCGGCTTTGCTGGTGTCGGTAGGTCTGCGGGGCTGTGGTGCCTCTGGGCGGAGGTGGGGAGTTGACTGCTAGTGTGTTAGGGCTTAACGCTGGCAAAATAATCCCTCTGATCCTCCTTGGGAGGGTCCGATCTCAGCTCTGCCAGCGAAATAGCCCTCGAGGGCCATGTGCTGTACCTTCCGTGTGGAGTAAAGAAAGCAATGCTAGCTCAGCTGTGTTGGTGTGCCCTAAAATACAGAAAGAGGGCTGCAAATCTCTACACCTTCTCTTAAGGTCTTGTGTTTGTGTCCTGGGGCTGAAAGCGAATGGCATTTGCAAGTTCTGTTTTGAGCACTGAGATGGTGTGTTCCAAGTCCCCCGTTATTTTAGCAGCATGCACACCCTGGCTTTACTTATTGGCAAGAACCTTTCCTCCTAATTTTGGCCCCACCACTTAGGATACCTTCAAAGTTTTTTCCTTTTCTTCGTCTTTCCCAACAGCAGTGCTTGCTACAGCTGAAGCTTCAGAGAACATCAGGCTGTCACTGTCAGCCCACAGCTTTCTCTTGATCTAAATACAGCAAAGAAAAACTAATTCTCTTAATGTAATTGCCATCAGTTATAGCATATATATACATACGTATAAAAAAAGCAGGAATTTTAACTCTCAACTAGATTATTAAGTATTCTGCCAGCCTCTAGCAGCTGTTCTGTGCTGTACATTGTGCTGGTATTATCCGTGATGGATGAAATGCAAAGCAAAGGATGTAGGTTTGCTTGCAGCACAGTGATGCTGCAGGATGAAATTAAAAGGCAAACTGAGGCCAGATCCTACTCTTAGTGTGAATCGGCCCAGATTCATCAAAATCCATAAAGCTGATTTATTGCAGCTGAGAAAGGAGGTCCCTTGCACGAAAGACATCTGGAAAGAGAGAAATGGTGACTTCCCTGCAGGCTTCACAAGACTGCTGTAAAGCAGGAGTTGCTGTATTCCCACCTCAGCTGCTCTGTTACAAGAAGCACTTACTACTGACCTAGTTCTTGTCCCCTTTCATTTTTGCCATCTGGTTTTGAGAGTTTGGTCTTTTGGCTCTTAAACATCATATGATTTTTTTGGAATGAGACCTAATGGTTTGAATCCATCCACAGAAGGGGAAAAAAGGAAAACCTTGCCTGATACCCTCCAGCCAAGTGGGTCAGTTTTGATGATGGTTTGGCACATGCTGTTCAACTGCTTTATTTACTGTATTGGGTAGACCATGCTCTGTAGCTTTCTGTGACTATAGATACAGCTTACATTCCCCTCCAGCCTGAAAGCTCCTCCTGTTGCTATAGCCAGAAAGGAGCATGCTTGTCTCAGCTCTCAGTGCTTTCCCTTCCTGACCTGTCCTTCCCCCTTTTCAGCTCAGCCTAGGGAAACAAAGTCAGTGTGCATCAGTATATTTGGTGTCATCTGCATGAGTAGGAAAGAAGGTTCCTGTGCCTTCCCTTATGGGGTATCCAGCATCCTTGGGAGGCAGAAATCATCTCCACAAGGCCCCTTCCCTTAGATTAGCTGGTGAAATGATACCAGGAAGCAGTGTGGCTTTATAACACCCATTTCTTGGTTGCCTGGTGCTCTGTGGCTCCCTTTCTATCTGGAAAGAAAGCCTCCATGTTAAGGCTCTGCTCAGCCCAGAGGGTGCTGTCGTGTTGGGTACATGGGTGTGGGAGTGACCAGGCTGTCCCTTCCTCCCCTGAAAGACACACTGCTTAAAACCAAAGCTCTCGCTGGCAGCCAGCAGAGACTTGGTGTCAGTTGAAGCTGCAACTCTGATGAACAAATAGAACATCAGGCAAATTCCCTACTGGGTCTGTGGGGGGCACAGGGAGAGCGCCAGTGTTCCTGCCTCTGTGAACCATATGTCAAGGACTCCTGTGTAGCTAAGAGCCACAGTGCCATAGGTGCTGCGGGCCTGAGGTGAGGGTGGGCTGCTGCTCCCTCTAGGAGTGAGCAGAGCAGAGGGCTTGCTGCTGTAAGGCTTGACCCTACTGGGAGCAGGGTGGCCCAGCCAATGCTCCCTGTTCCTCATGAGGGCACTGGGGCTGGTCACAGAGCCAGCCTGGGAGCTGGTCCTGCTGGAACCTGGCTCTGTGAAAGCAAAGGAGAACAGTGCCTATTGTCTTCTCAAAACAGCTACACAGAGCACCTGGTGTTGGCACCAGAGGGTGGAGGGACAACTCTTTTGGGAGGACCACGTATTTAGGTCAGTTTAAGGCAGCTGTGAGTACAGTGTCTGAGGATTTGTTGAGGGCTTGTTGCTACAGGAGCTCCTGCAAAATCCCAGATATGCTGGGGTCTGTTTGTGTCAGCCCTCATTGAAACCAAAGCCTTGTAAACAAGGGACAGTAAAGCTGTGTTCAGGACTGAGTCTGCTTGCTGACCAGAAGTGTTCTTGCGTCTTTGCATTTGTCCATATCCTCATTGAGGGAGAATAGCAGAAAACGTCCAGCTTAAAACTGGCTGTATTACAACATGAAATTCTTTTTCCAGGTAATTGTGGAGGTTAGTAATTAGCTCTGTTTTTGCTATTGGTTTAACTCCTCCTGTGGGCATAACTAGGGTGTTGAAAGTAGGCTAATTAATTGGCTGTCCCTTCTAAATCCTCTGCAGAATTGCTGTGCTTTTGTACAGCAAAAATTGTGTGGCAGTTTCTTAAACACTGGGAGAAAAAGTTCTTTAATGTTTTCATTGAGTTGTGAAAACCTAAATATTAGTCCCAAACTTTCAAAGAGTAAATCTTTAGTTATTTCTTCCTTGGCCTCTGACATGGGCAGAAGGTTTTAAGAGTTACTTAAATTCCATGGGTAACAGATCCCGTGGCATGCATAACTTAGCCTGTTCACAAACCCAAAAGTATGTCACGACTGGATGACTTTATGTACCTAGCTTCTTTAAAGGCCTGAATCCTGTAGCTGAACCAAAATCTAGGCTCTCAACTCTAAGTTATGAGCCCTCATGTGCTCAGTTAAAGGGTGTGTTAAGCGCCTGGAGTAAAGATTTTAGGCTCTGTAAGAAAAAGCAGACAAGCGCAGGTGTTACGCAGCTCACTCACTAATACTGCAGACAGGTTTGGCTTGAGGGCTACACCTGCATTTGTTTCTTGCAGCTGCACCACTCTTACCACTAAAAGAGGAACAAAATGATGTGGAAAAAGCTTGAGGAGAAGGCAGGGGAGGAGCAGATGTCTGAAGACTGTTTCACTTGGGCAGATGGAGCTGACATTCTAAGATTTCTCGAAGGTGCCAGATGTGTTGCGGAGGTTGTGAAGGAAAGGGGAACATCTCACTCCTCCCTTTTTCCGTCCTCCAAAGTGAATTTCAGTTTCCTCATTGACAAGCAAGAATATCTCTGAGATCTCCAAAGCATCCACTCTGACCTTTCAAGCTGCCTGGCAGACAGCAGGCTGTACCGGTCAGACTGTGAATGCATGATTCAGATTTAAGTGACTGCATCCACGTCATGTGGCTTCTTAAGCTTCCTCTTCCGAGTTGGATGTATTTCCAGAGACACATGGGCTTGGGTAAAATACTGCAGGGGAGAAGTGTTCTTGTAGATATTACAGCTTTACCATGCTTTAGAATCAAAGAATCGGCTAGGTTGGAAAAGACCTTTAAGACTGCTCATGGCTACCCCTCATCTCCCCTTGAGATCTCCCTCATGGCCACCCCTCACGGCCCATGGCTGCCCCTCCTCTCCCCTCATGATCTCCCCTCATGACCACCTCTCCTGTCCCCTCACTATTTCTGCTGATGGCTGCTCCTCCTGTCCCCTTATGATTTCTCCTCATGGCTGCCCCACTTCTCCCCTGTTGATCTCCCTTCACCTCTCATGGCTGTCCCTCCTGTCCCGTCACGATCTCCCCTCCCCTAAGGAGACAGGTCTTTGCATTTCTACAAACCTCTCCTTGTCCGTGGGCAAAAAGAAGAGCTGCTTATAAAATTAATCTGGTTAATAACCAGTCAAAACAGCACGTAACTCCTGGTTAGTGGCTTAGGCAAATCTGAGGCTCTGGGTTACTAAGAGACTTCTGCTATCTGTGATGCTTGCAGGAGTGCTGTGTAAGAGCTGAGCTCTATTAGCTTTATAGCAGGCAGCCAGCATCTGAGGGGAAGCTTTGTTTGGCCAGTGCAAATCAAACACTAAGCACTGAGAAACCTCCTTTGTGGAAATCACGGTGTACTAATGGGAGAGGGAAGACAGGCAGCAACTGTGAAAGCTGGGGCAAAGGAAAAGAAGTATTAAATTGCTGTTCTCCATGACTGTAAAAGTCACAGTGACTTTAATGGAATGGATTGTCATGCCTGGGGTGACAGCAGGCTAAATCAGCTGTTAGAAGGAGATGGAGTTACTTAGCATGCTGTGGCCTCCCTGTGCCCCCTCTTCAGACTTCCAGTCATTTGCACTGCAGCGTTCACTGTTTCTCTTTCCTTCTGCTCTGCTTGTCTCCTCAGCCTTGAGCAGTGCGTGGCTGTGCCCCTCCTGAGCTCCCTGGGACAGCAAGGATGATCACGTTCATGAACAACTCAGATAGCGAGGAGGAGCCCTGCAATGAGAGGACATCCCTGATGTCTGCAGAGAGCCCTCCAGTGCCCTCCTACCAGGATGGCCTGCAAGCCTCGGGAGCCGGGGAGGCGCAGGCTCATAGGGTAAGTGTGCGTCCTTCCCGGTGAGTGAAGAAATGGGATGTGGTGATAGATGTAGTCCTGCTACCCCTTAATCCCTCCCAGCAGGCTGGCTTCTAGGATTGCTTTGGCCAGTGTTGTTTCTCACTCTCAGCCAGCTGCAGCAGTGCCTGTTCCCATTTCCTCTGCTGTGACTTCTTCCCCCTTTTAATCTCCATATATACTCCTCCCTCTTCCTTCCTTTTGGTAATGGTACAATTTTACAGATACAAGCTTTTAATCAGGACCTGATGCACATATGACTCTTGCAGGATATCCTTTTCAGCCTCATTGTTTTGCCAGAAACCCTTTGCTTGGGTCAAATGCAGCAAATATTAGGACAGAGTCCAGTTCTGCTGCCAGTGAAGCAGCAGGGTAAAGCAAGCACAGCATTGCTGTGGGGGGAGGAACTGGTCAAGCTTATGCCACCTGAGATGACATTTCTTCTCAGCTCTGGGCATCTTGCCCTTCATCTGCATGTGCCTATCTGTATGGCTCTTGAAGAGGCCCCAAGATATTCATAGTTTTGGTTTAAAAACTTGAATGCAGCTCGTTTGCAATGGAATTTCTAATTGTATTGTTCAGTTGGTACCTCTCTGTTATGAGCCAAGTTGGTATGCTGTGGTGGCCTACAGCAGTCTCATGAAATACAATGGAATAAAGCTTTGAACACGAAGAAATGAAGTGTCTTACATACTTGTTAATCTTTCTTTTCAGAAGAGGCGAACAGGTAGCAGCCGTAGCCCTAACAATATTGCTGAAGGGGAAATGTCTGACTCGGGTGTTCCAGTGAGAGGAAGCGCCTTGGAAAATGAAGAGGAGGAACTAACTCTGAAATATGGAGCAAAGCATGTAATCATGCTCTTTGTGCCTGTCACCCTTTGTATGATTGTTGTCGTCGCCACCATAAAGTCAGTGCGCTTCTATACGGAGAAAAACGGGCAGCTGTAAGTGGGGTCTTCAAAACAGCCTCTGAGTACATGGGATCTGGCTTTACACACAGGTTCACGTACACTCTGTGTATGCAGAGTGCTTCCTTGGCAGGTTGGGAGAACCTTTACACAGCTAAAGGTGGCTGTGCAGGTGTACAGAGGTCTTACTAAAGTATGCTACATTCATCTGTGTAAGTCCTTCTGTACGTGTCTTTATACTGATGCTTTTGCACTGTCATTCGGGTGCCTAAGTGAAGCCTACGAGCAGCATAATAATCATAGCATTGTAGAATGGTTTGGGTTGGAAAGGACCTTCAGATCATATATTTCCAACCCCCTACCATGGTCAGGGACACCTTCCACTAGACCATGTCACTGAAGACTCCATCTACCCTGGCCTTGAACACCAGGGATGGAGCATTCACCACTTCTGTGGGCAACCTGTGCCAGTGCCTCAGCACCCTCACAGTAAAGAACTTCTTCCTCATATCTAACCTGAACTTCCCCTGTTTAAGTTTGAACCCATCACCCCTTGTCCTGTCACTACAGTCCCTGATGAAGAGTCCTGCTCCAGCATCCTTGTAGCCCCCTTCAGATATTGGCAGGCTGCTAGGAAGTTTGTACTGCACATAAAAGGCCGAGGCTGAACTCCTCATCTGTTCACTCACTAGCTGGCAGCGATCAGGGAATAACATGTTCATTTGGATGAGTGTCTCATTTCCTGATGACGTTTCTGGTTCTCACAGACTCATGGTGTGGATACATAATTCATACAATTATGACTGATACAGCTCTTGCCGACTGTGCCTGAGAGCACTCCTGGGGCTCTAACTGTGCTTCACATGTCAGGTGGAGAAACAGGGACTGTGGTCCCTTGAACTGAACCAAAGAAAACAAAATGGGGGGTGAAGGGTGGGGTGCAGGGTGATGAGAAGGGATAAAAGAGTCCAAGACTCTCCTACCAAGTGTGGAAAGAATGGGTCACCCCCTTTCAGGACAGCACCTGGGAGGTAGCCTTATAATTATCATGGAGGGGATCCAAAGCATGCAATAAAAATTTGTGGCCTGGAGAGAAGTTACTAAAATGAAGTCATTTAAACTCTATGCCTCTTTGTTTAGGGCTTTGCCAGCCACAGCTTCTTGTAGGAGTGTGCTTTTGATAGAGACCACTTTAATCTTTAGTTGATAATTAACTGGAGCCCAGCCACTTCAGAGGCTACCTCTTATGTTTGCTGTCCTTGGCAGTCCTGTCTTTCTTTCTCACAGATGGAGAGGCCTGGCTTTATCCTGTGGCAGTTGGTTAGAATATATATACTGTATATGGCTTTTGCTTTATACTGCAGGATCTACACCCCTTTCAGTGAGGATACCCCATCTGTGGGCCAGCGTCTCTTGAACTCGGTGCTGAACACCATCATCATGATCAGTGTCATCGTCGTAATGACTGTGTTCCTAGTTCTGCTCTATAAATATCGCTGCTACAAGGTAAAATGTTCATGCCAGAGCCTTTTCCACCTAGATGCTGTGAACTTGAGTTCAAGTAGGGCTTGCGTGTCAGTGAGAAATACAGGCACTGCAGTGGCTAGTCCACGTCTTAAGTCACAGCAAGAAGCATCTTGTACAGCAGCCTTTGTCAGAGGTGGTAGAGCTGTGCTCCTGAACATGTGTTGCTGTTATTTTGTCATTAATGGTAGGCTCTTAAAAACCAGGCCTGCTACTTTGTGTTAGTCGGGTCTGAGCCTTCTCCATCTCATCAAGAAGTTTTGTGGTTTGTGCATGTGGACTGAGTAAGGCATTTTGTGAATGCCTTCTCTTGGGAAGTTTCAGACAAGCTTTGTGGGAGCTGATATTCTTCCTGCCCATGGAGGGTCTGCTGGAAGGGACAAGGCTTTGGGGATAAAGGCACATTCAGGTTTTGTGGTGCCCAAGGAGTTGTTCTATGTTGTGCCAGCCCAGCATTTGAGCACTGGCCATTGCTGTGTTTTAAACTTGGCCCTGAGATGGGTTTATTGTACAGCCTTGGGCAAACCCCTCCTCCTCCTTTTCTCCACCAAGCAGAGAGAATGTGTTCACCTGTCTCAGCTAGGAGCCAGGATATGGATACCCATGGAAATGGATAGGAAAGAGGCTAAAAAAACCCCAAAACCAAACCAACAAAAACAAACACTGATGGATCAAATATAAATGAAAGAGTTTGGGAGAACTGGGAGCAACTGGCTGTCCTTCCTCCCTCACTGGTGCTGGGGAAGGCAGAGTCTTTGGTAACGGGAGGAGGAGTGCAGAAGGAGGCTGCTGGACAGTAAAAGCTCTGTCACTAGTGGATGCAACACTACAACCTGTGTGAGGGGTAACAGTCCCTTCAATTACTGTCTTGTCTTATCCTTGATAGTTCATCCATGGCTGGTTGATCCTGTCCTCTTTGATGCTGCTCTTCCTCTTTACCTACATATATCTCGGGTAAGTGGGAATGGGGCAGGTAACCTGGCAGTTCAGAGCGCAGAAAATGCCTAACCTGAATGAGGAGAGTAATGTCTCCCCTTCTCCAAACAGAGGTTTGAGAACTGTTAGAATCAATGGAAAACACTTAAAAAATGGCAGATGAAGTCTTTAATAGGCAGTGCCTGATTTTTACAGTGCCTGCTCTAGAAAAATCACTAGGAAGTGGTACTGTGAGCATGAAACGAACAGGCTGAACCTGGTGGTACAGAGGCACTGAATTGTATGTTGAGAAACAAAGGGAAAGGAACTTATGTGTTGAGTTGGTTTTCTGCTTTGTTTTGCCTTTTTCTCTGTATTGTTTCAAGCTCATTCCCTTAGCTCCCAGCTGAGGCACAACCAAGGTTTTAACTTGCAGGTGACACTTGCTAACAACTTCTCAGTTTTAACTGTGAGAATCAAGCATCTGGTGGGATGACTCTCACATGGCCTCTTTGCTGCAGATGGTCATGTGGCTGCAGGCCTGTGTTTGGTTAAGACTTGAAATGTCTGTTCAAACCACTGTAATCACTGCTGACCTCAGGGCTAAGGCAGTGTGGTGACTGCCTGCACACATTGCATGTCCATCTCCTGCAGGAGGAACAGAGAGCTATGAGCAGCCACTGGCCGCAAGGCAGGTTCCCCTTTCATCATGAGAGCTGCTTCTATCCTGCTCCTCCTGGTGTAATAGGAGGCTTGTTTAACTATAGCTAGTAGGATGCTTTGTGTGTCAGCTGCTTATATTGCTTAGCTAAATTCTCTTGTATTACAGTGAAGTACTGAAGACATACAATGTGGCCATGGATTACCCCACCCTGTTCTTAGTCATCTGGAATTTTGGAGCTGTTGGGATGATTTGCATCCACTGGAAAGGTCCCTTGCAGCTCCAACAAGCATATCTCATTATGATCAGTGCTCTAATGGCACTGGTTTTCATTAAGTATCTACCTGAGTGGTCAGCATGGGTGATTCTAGGTGCAATCTCCATCTATGGTAAGTCTGGGTTGGGACTCGCAAGGTGTGGCTCATGGAGGGGTTACTCTGAGGCAATCTCAGGACTCTGGATGTCATTCAGAAAACAACTTTATGGTGCTGACAGATTTAGAAAGGGGCAGATGGGCAATAAAATTGGCTCCCTGGCTTGTCTCATGCTAACTTGTTCCTATAGATACTGTACTCCTACCATATCTTTCAGAGTGAAATGCCAAGTTGGGGAAGTACTGAACCACATCTAACTGCATAGTGGGGGTGGTTAGACTTTTATCAGTAGGAACCTGATGGTCTTGCAGGTTCCATTTGTGGTTATCAGGAGATCATGGATTTTGATATGAGTAACAAGTTTCAAGAGAAGCTGCAGAACAAGGGACAGTTGGGAGGTAACACTCAGATTGGTGAGGAGCTCTGATGGAGGAGAGAGGGTAGGCAAAGAGGAACTGCATTCATGTGAAACACTGAGTCAGTGTGTGTAGCAGTGAGTTGTGGAATGTGAACAAAGTACTCCCAGTCCTCATCTAATTAAATTTAACACCTTGATATAATGCTGTCATCTACTTTCAAAGAAATAATGTGTTATTCTTAAGAGGCTTTTGATAGGATTAGTACAATGAAAACTCTAACTACTCTATTAAGGCTTGGGAATGGTATTTTAAGTGAACAGCATCTTCAGGGACTTGAACAGCAGAAACTGCCATTCAGGAAATCATCCAGTTAATATTGATAGATGTAATTTTGAGAGGAGAATAGCTTTTTAAAGATAAAGAATGTAAAATATGCATGATAGTTTGAGATGAGATTGTCTGGCCTTTTTCTTCTTGCAGATCTGATGGCTGTTCTCTGTCCCAAGGGGCCACTGAGAATGCTGGTAGAAACTGCACAGGAGAGAAATGAGCCCATTTTTCCTGCATTAATATATTCCTGTGAGTAAGATCAGAATGTTAATGTTTTTAGCCAGATTAAACAGCCTATTTTTGTGTCAAACCGAAGAACACTATTTTAGTTGTCCTTGCCCTAAGATTGATGTGCATTTATGTTCTGGAACAGACCATTTATAGAAGGTCTTGTTTATCGATTACAATGGTGCCATCTCTAATTAGCCACAGGAAGCCTCCATTTGTCTCATGAAGCTGAAATGTTCGAAAGTATATTTATCCTTCCATGAGTGCAGTGCAGAATGTGCTCCTTTGTTCTGCGTACAAAAACCTGTGTTAGATGGACAGTAGTCTTTGCAAAGTTCTGTGATGAGAAGATGCCACTCAATACACTTCTACCTTGTGCACACACTTTATAGACACACTTTCAACGTGTGATGAGGTTCCATTCTTCCCATAGCCCCCTCTTGCTCTGTGCACTGTATGGACAGCAGTGCTTTATTGTTCACTCTGTGGCTGCTCACTTTGTGAAAGGCTCTATTCAAGTATTGCTCTACAAAGAGGATCAGTTGTCTCTTTCCTGGCTTTCTTGGCCTGTTTAACTGTGATGGTGTACAGTGTCCTTATCCAAAGGTATATATGTACTTCAGATAGGAGGAAGGCAGGCAACTCAACACTCATGGGGCCTGGACTCAAGTGATTTGTGGACATCAGTGACTTCTGCATTACATCAGTTGTAAGGAGAATGGCTATTGCCAGGTGGTCAGCGCAAAGTTGAGGATGGCTACAACCTCATTGATCTTTATTGCCCCCCAGCATTTAATGTTATATAAATGCTTTTATACATTCCAAGCAGAGCTTCTGTTGGTTTTGGCTCACCTCCCTTTTTTACTGGAGATTATTTTATACTGACCTGAGACAATCTAGATGAATCACAGAATGGTTTGGGTTGGAAGGGACCTTAAAGCTCATCCAGTTCCAACCCCCTGCCACAGGCAGGGACACCTTCCACTAGAGCAGGTTGCTCCAAGCCCCTGTGTCCAACCCGGCCTTAAACATGGCCAGGGATGGGGCAGCCACAGCTTCTCTGGGCACCCTGTGCCAGCACCTCAGCACCCTCACAGGGAAGAACTTGTGCCTAATATCTAATCTCAATCTCCCCTCTGTCAGCTTAAAGCCATTCCCCCTTGTCCGTCCCTACGTGCCCTTGTAAAAAGTCCCTCTCCACATGTTTTAGTTAACAAGAGTTTCTCTAAAGGAGAATGCGATTCAACAAATAATAGGTACCGAACAAAAAGATCTTGTGCAGAACATCAGTGTCTCCATTGCAAGACCACATTCTGTGCTCCCTCTAGATGTAAAAACATCACCTTGGCTGAGCTTGTAGTGGAAAAATAGGCGCTGTGTTTGCTTTGGCTTATTTTGTTTATTTTAGGTTCTATAAAAACAGGAAGACTGATGCACGCTTAAATAAACAGCTGATTTGAGTTCCCTTGACTGATTTCAAAATGGTTTGTCTTCCTTTTTAGTTTAGGGGTCCATGTCAAGAATAAACTCCTAAACATCCTTCAGTTGTTCTTGGAACCAAAACAGAAATAGCTGATATTCTGACAGGAAAGAACCAAACCAAATAGGCAGTGAGAAAACTAGTGCTCCTAAAACAAGACAGCTCCTGCGTATCCCTCCCTTGTGTGCTTTACCTTTAGCAGAACATGAGGAGCAAGCTGTGTAAGTTAACCTCTATTTACCTTTTGTACTACCAGTGTTTCCTGGGCAGTTGTTTTCTTTGAAGAAAACAAAAGAGATGAGGATCCTAGTTCTGGGTTTTCTTTAGCCTGCAGTGAGGACAGGGACAATACTGACTCTTACCTATTTGTACTTTGGGACTTTCTTAAAAACTGAATGCACTGCCTTAATTTTCTCCCACCTTACCTTCCGAGTGCCTAGGGAAACCACCTAAAAATGAATGTTGTAAAAGCATTTACAGGAGCAAAAGTGTGTATTTTTAGGGACAGCTAAATACCTATTTCCTCTGAGCTATGGTGGCTGATGTTTTATGCAGCTGGTTACTTTCTCTCTTGCTTCTAGCTGCTATGATGTGGACAGTTGGAATGGCAAAGCCAGACACAGCAGCAAGAGGACCAAGTCAGCAGATGTGGGATGCAGGTTTGTTTGCATGTTACTCTTCTATACAGAGCACTGTCCCATGGAAATAACGTGTGTGTTTGAGACTGCAAGTAAATGTAAGCCCCTGAATCCTGATAGATGCATTTTTTCAGTGGTTGCAGAACTTGGTGATGTTTGAAACCTGCTGTTAGGGCTGGCAGCAGAGATGGCCAGATGATGTAGAAAGCTCCAATATTCAAGCTGTTTTTATTTAAACCAAACACAAACAGGAAACCAAACAAGTGTTGTTCAACACATCTTCAGATGTACTTAAGTCAGAGCTGAAAGCGGCCTAGAGGGGGTTTGTATTTTTATTAGCTGGGGTTAGTAAATTACAACATAGGCTCATAAACACAATGCCAGTGAGCTGGTGAACTTAAATGCATTGTAGCATGTTGTATTCAGGCCACTGGCATGGAGCAGACATGGTATTACCTAGCTGTAAGTGCAGCATGGCTTACCCTGCTGAAGAAAATGAACGTCCTTACATTTACCCTTGGGTAAAGGCTTATGTTTGGGCAGTTACCCAACAGTAGCTGAGGTGTAGCAAGTTCACATTCTAGCTGTTCCTGTGGCAGTTTGTGTGCCTTTGCTTCCACCTTCCTGACATGCAAGTTAAACTGCAGTTTTAAGGTGATTGAATAAAATGTGATTTGTGGTGTTCGGAGGATTTCCCATCTGGCCTTGTTGCACTTCAGAAATGACAGTACCTTTTTGTGTTAAAGCAGTAAATGTATGCTAAGGTTTGATAACTGAACATGCTGCTCATCTCAGGGTAAAGCAGCTGACACATTAACAAACAGCAGGGACACAATCCTGCTTTGAAAGAGCATGCTGAGCTGTACAGAATGCCTCTGTGGAAGCTCTCTTGTGTCCCAGATTGCATCTGCAGCAGCAGCAGCAGCATCCTGTCAGACTGACATGCACTGGAAAGTTTCTATGAGTGCCTCTGAAAAATGGGAACTGTCAGATAGAGGAATGTATCTCGGACTGGCTGCTTCCGAAAGCACTACCAAGGGCTCTGTTTTAGATGTGTTTAACAGGGAAAAAAATCAGTGAACAATGAAATGTGTTCACTTTCTACATGTGGACCCCCAGTTCCAATGTCAGTGTGATTCTGGGCAGAACTTTTCTCATAAATAGCAGTCCTCTTACTCAGCCATTTTTGTCATATGATCAGTTAGGGAATACCTGAGCACCTCCACGCCAAAGACACAGCGACGTGGGAACTTACTTCACTTGTCATTCTACCCTGTGCAGAGCTTAGCTCTGCATATGTACTCGCTTGTTAAAGCCATTGAGCTCCTGGGTAGCTGCCAAAGAAGCTGTGAACACGTATGCTTCCGACTGGTGCAAATAATAACACGTTTTCCTAAGGCCACTAAATGTCTCTGCTTGAACTGGTGTTGATGATCACACCTCCAAGAAGCAAAGAGCTTACCCATTCCAGGGAAGTTTGACAGCAGTGTGGATTTCATGTGTTACCTTATAAATGTAGCTACCTCTTGTGTTCCTTTTTGTCTGCTTGTCTTGGGCTGTTTTTGTGGAACCAAGCTGAGGATGGGAGAGACAACCACGGGAGCTCTTCACATACAGACTCTCAGATGTCGGAGACGAGGAGTCCTGTTCCAACCCGCCCCATCACTTCTCTAGAGGAGCTTGAGGAGGAGGAAAGTAAGAGAAGCTTTGTACCTTGATTTCAGTGTAGTCAGTCAGAACCTGACTTCTTTCTCATTGTGGTTAATGCTGTTACTATTAGTCTAATTGCAGTTGATTTGAAGAGTTGTGTCTTGCTGAGCAACAAAGATCTTGAGTCTGACTGCATATTACTTGCTGCTGCAGAATCTGTTCTGGGATTGCAATTCCAGTGACATCTCTTAGCTATACGGACTATTTAAACAGTTCCTTCTTCCCCTTGCCTCTCATCCCTCTCCATCCTAAAGCTTCCTTAACTGGTACATCTGTAAAGCAGACCAGGGAAGCACCTCAGAGGATGAGGCTGAGCAAAAGCAACTGTGGGAGAGGAGGCTGGAAGACTCAGCCTCCTCAGTAGCATGTGGGGTGCTAAGGGTCCAGGTTGGAGCCAGGACTAGGAACCCTCACCTGCTCCCCAAGGGACAAGAATTTGTTCAGGAGGAAGCAGACCAGGAGGAGCAGAATTAACCCTTGTTTTCCTTTCCCACTTCTCTTAGGGGGTGTGAAGCTGGGCCTTGGAGACTTCATATTTTACAGTGTGCTTGTTGGGAAAGCAGCGGCCACAGCAAGCGGAGACTGGAACACCACGCTGGCCTGCTTTGTAGCCATTCTCATAGTAAGTGAGCAAGCTTTTAGTAACTCTGTTATACCCTGTTTAGTACAGCAGTGTTGCCAGAACTACCAGCAGCTGAGCACTGCTTAGTCACTGCAGGTAACATGATGGGTATTTAGGAGAAACCACCCAATCCACTGCTGTGGATTTACGTATTTATTTTACCCCAAGAGACCTTGAAAACTGGGAAGGTGTTAGAAGTACATGCTGCTGTGCATTAAGAGTCCTCATCGATGCAGTTCACCAGGATTTAAGTGCCCTTATGTGCTGGATCAGTACTTCGTATGTAATGGCACAGAAGAAAATGTAATCTGTAAATAAATGAGCCTCTTGGGGTCAGCTGTATGTCAGCATTAGCTGTTTATAGCACTTTCTCAGTGCTCAAGATTGCAGAAGAAAATGCCTGGCCAGCTCGTGTGAAAGGTGAAGCTCTGGGCAAATATATCTCATGCTACTGGTAGCTCAGGCAGGCTTCAGTTGCTGCACAGTGTAGCTTATTATTTGTCTATTAGGTTAATTAAATAGCTAATTTGTATATTAGGTTGTTGATGGTGGATACATTTCTGGGCTGCTTACTGTATCTCTGTGTTTTTTCTCTCTTCTCTCTGGCAGGGTTTATGCTTAACTCTTTTATTACTGGCTGTTTTTAAGAAAGCACTGCCTGCTCTTCCCATCTCCATCACCTTTGGCTTGGTCTTTTACTTCTCGACAGACAACCTTGTGCGACCATTCATGGACACCCTGGCCTCCCACCAGCTGTATATTTAGAAGAGGTGGGAGTTAGAGGATTCTTTTGAAAGCTTTGCTGTGAAGTATGGTTACACTGTTTGGAATAAGTGCTGAAGTTTTACACTTAGTGCCATATATTTGTAAGGAAAACACTAACTCTGTGACATGATGTGTACTAAAAATCTAATATATACAGGACTCTGGGACTCCAGGGAAAATCCTGGCTCATTGGTGATGTCAGAGTGTTACTTTATGTTATTTGATGTGTACACTGGCTGTTGCGAGCACAGAAACCTGTATGTAGCATGGGACACTGAAGAGGTGGAGGGTCTGATCTGTGCTTCCAGAAGCTAAAGTGGTTTAAGCCCTGGAATTGCAATCAAGTTTAACTCTACTCTAGGATTTTTAACACTTTTGAAGTGTAGTGCAAACATGCTGTGCAAGTAAATTGTACTTGTAAATAGAGAAGCATAGCACTCGGCATGCACAGAACAAAGCAGGGTGTTACACCTGGTAATGAGCAGTAGGGCAGTGAGGCTGAACTGCATAACCTGGCTTCTGTGCATACAACTTCTGTTGAAATTGTCCCAAATCCCTATTTATTCTGACCTTTGATATAATATCAGTGAGCCATGATGGATCTAGGCAGGAATGTTGGTGGTTGGGATGTTTAAACATCAGGCTTCTGATGTTTTGCATGCATCCAGCACTGCAGCTAACAGCTGATGAAGACAGGGCTGCCTGTTCCACCACATTAGATCCTCAGTGTGGGAATTCAGATACTTTTTTCCTGTCTCCTGCCAGCGTTTTACCTTTTTGGAAATCTTTTTCCGGGTCTGTACTACAGTCCTCAGATTACCATTAGGTGGAAATGACTACACAACTCCAGTAAATCAGACGTGTAACTTCTTGTGTGTATTTCTAGTCTCATTTCTGTGCGCTGTTGTAACTACTCCAAAGGAGGATTTACCTTCCCTTTCTGAAGAGGTCCTCTTACAAGGATTGAGACTTGGTTTACTTAGTTTTTGGTACTGTTTAAAGGTTATTTTTTCATTACAAAATTTAAACCAGTTATTTACTGGTTATTTACCCTGTCATATCTTGTATCAGAAGACAGAGGTGCAAACTGCAATCTGCTCCTTACATAAGGCATCTTTAGTGCTAGGAATATTTACACACCCTGGAGTTCATTAAAAGAAATAAATACAAGAATCACAGCGCTTGCTGCCAGTAAGAAATATGGGTCTAGCTGAACCCGACTGTTTTCTCCACCTTTTAAAATCATCTGGTTTCTATTCAGAGTCAGTTTTTTACAAACAGCCAAGTTCTGTGGGTTTTTTACCTCTTTTTACTCGAGTGTTGATGACGCAAAGAAGCGCTGTTTTCTCTGACAGCTCATCAGTGTCAGTGTTTCAGAGTGCAACGTGATGCAGGGTTTTGTGAATAATGCAGTGACAGAGAGATGCAGAATTTCATCTCTCCTAATACTTTTTAGATAAGGCTTTGAACTACACATTTCTGAGGCAGTGTTTTTTCCAATAGACTTGTTCAAGCACATCTATGTTGGTATTTAACAAGGACATCACGTGGGTGATGCAAACACCTGTAAGGGTTTTCATGAGTTGTGTGTGTGTCTCAGTTTGCTCTTTGTTTAGTTTTCTGTCCTCATTTCTCACATTAGCAATGTTTGGACTTACCAGCTGCAGAGTTAATTATTACTAAAAGGTATTTCCTTTGGAAATGTAAATCAGTAGAGCTCTGTCTGCTGATTTTTAAGGTTTATGTGAGAGTTGGGTTTTCCTCCTTTTATTTTTGGGTGTTTTTTAAACCAGTTATGGGGCCAAATCAGAATACTGCAACAATGATTTTACTTTTTGCATTGCATGGTGTAGAGAGGATGTGAATTATTTATATGTACTGGAGCAAAAATCCTGCTTGGCTTAACAGGGTTTTAGCATATTGTTAGAGACAATTTATTTCTGTGAAAGCAGAGTTGGTATTTGAAGGACACTGGGGAAATACCTTCAAATATTGAAGGATCCCTACTGGAGGTGGTGGGTTGCTGCAGGTTTGTGCTTGTTGAAGATTGGCCTTCCACTGAGAAATTCTGCATAGCTGATAAAAATTGTAATTTAAAAGGTAACTGAGCAACAGATTCTGCCAGTGCAACAAAATGTATTGTCCTGGTGAGTGATAGGAATGTATCATGTACATACTGGAGTGGTTTAAACTGTGTACAAGTTCATATGTGTTTACTACAAATATATACGTATTCACTGTGTGTTTGTGTGTGTATACACGCATACATGCAAGTTTTAAAATGATATTGAGTGATTTCTCATCTCATTGGCCATTATCACCTGTGCATAAAGTGAAGTTTTGTTCGTGATGTTAATACTGTATGGTCTAAGATGTGGAACTGCAGAGGGCAGGATTTACACTACTCCGTAGCTGGCTACTACATGAGATACTGACTCAGTGACCTGGCAACTTGAATGAGCAAAGCATTTGTCTGTCTTCTGTGCTCATGCACTGACTTCAGCTTGCTGCTTGCTCTGCTCAACTGCAGTCTCTTTCACCCTGAAGAGATCCCAGTATTCCCACAATGATGCACATCCCCCTAAAAGCCCCTCCTTGATGCAGGTGTCCACAGCCTCAAGTCCTGAAGGAGATGCCACATGCTGGCATTTTCCTATGTGATCCCTGTCACATCCGCTTCTCCTCTCTAGTCTAAAGTAAGTGTCTCGTTGCATCTAGTCTCAAATGGTGCTTGGGCACACACCAGTCTCTAATGTGTAAGACTGAAGCTAAGTCCATGAACAAAAATGTGGTAGTAAGACTGCCCAGTGCAAACCCAAGCTTTTCAGTGGTGGAAGATGTGTAGCCTCCTTGCATCACTTAGTGCCTTTGTAAGAAGCATGTGCAATTCAACCAGTGTGACATTGTCACCTTCTGAACATGCAGTTGCTGCTTGTGCTTAGTGCTTTGTCCTCTTGCCATGTAACTTGCTTTTGGTTTTGTTCTGGGGTTGTTTTGGTTAAAGTTTCTCTTGTGTATGAGAGACTGGAGATGCATTCTGCCTGCAGAGGGTGCACAAGAAGCAGCACAGTCATAAAGTACAAGAAATGGGACATTCCTGGAAGTGCTTCTCCAGCAGCTCTCATTCATAAAAGCTAGCATCAGGCTTTTAAGGCACGTCCCTCAGAGAGAAGTCAGACTGTGTTAGAAATGTCATCTCCTCCTGGTTCACAGAGAGGAAGGGACACGTTTGCAATATGAGGTGTTTCAGCAAGAGCTTTATGAACACTGCAGAAGCTGTGCCAACTTCCATTAGTAGGAAGGTCACAGCGCACGTCTATCACAGGCAGCGAAAAGCAGCAGTGCTCTGCTCTCCCACACCTTCTTTGCACCAGTTGCTAGTGCAGTCTCCTCCAGGGGGCATCTGGATGAAGTCAGATGAACCACCTCTCTGAGTAAACGGCACTTGGTGACAGGACTCTGATGGAGACTCACTGTCTTTACAGAAAAATTAGGAGGTCTCCCAGTAAATCCCTCTGCTTCGTTCTTGCCTTCCTAGGTGCTTCCAAACTAATCACTCCGGGTGTTTTCCTTCCTCTTCTTTGTAACTCAAATTGTGTTTTGATTTAAGTTGAATATATAGTTACTCTTCTTTATTGTTTCCCTTAGTCCTTGGTCTCCCTGTTCCTGCATTACAGATGCTCCTTGGCAGCCACAGGAGGGCGGTACGTCTATATGAAGAAGTACCAGCCATTTTCAAGGACTCTGCTGTGTACCCCTTGCTTTTCAGTGAGGCTGAAGGCTCTGTAGTCTTCCTCATGGCAGGGAGAAAGCAGACACCTCACACCCCAGCACAGCTGCAGTTTTGGCACAGCATAGGGCAGGCCTTGAGTGAGCTCACGCTGTGCCAGAATCTATTTAAAGATTTCAGTGTGATGCCATGTTCAGCGCTGCAGCTCTGGGTGAGGTCCTGCTGTTGCATTACACACTCCGTTTTGTTTGGGTCGTGTTCCCCCCTATTTTTAGAAGCATTCAGCCCTAGTTTCAGGCCTGAAACCCCCAAGCATAAGTCAGGGGCTCCTCCAGACATTGCTAAATTAGGTTTCCTCCTAAGCATCTTCAAGAAGGAAAGGAATAGTTATACTTACTGCATTGTCATTCCTCCTCTCACTTGCACTCTCCTATTCTGTCCCAGCAGGTCTTGCTAATGCGTGTGGGGGAAAGAGCATGCTGCTGTCATTCCAGCTCTTGGCACAGGGGAACTAGGATCACGCTGCATCCTGTTGTCTGTACCCTTAGGAGAGCCAGGTGCTCTCTGCTTTTCTTGAACTCACTTGTTTTGTAAGAAAACAGCATGGACAAATGCTGTATCTTTGACAGAGCTTCTCTCACCACACCATTCATACACTGCTCAACACACTTGCATCCTTCATGGAATTTATCCTTGCTTCCCCTGCCCTCAGTACAGTAAAACGGTGTGAGCTGTTCCCATTCTACAAATGGGAAGCATGGAAACTAAGAGAGTAAATGCTGGGTTTAAGTTTGGTTAAAGAAAGATTTGCCCACGTCAGGGCATCAAAACCAATCATACAAGTCACTATCATTTCTTTCACATCTTCCCTTTGCTGCAGGTTTGCTATCACCCACCTTTTCCCACTCTAAATTGAAGACATTTGCCCTGAGCACTCGAGTTAGTTAAGTAAATATGAACTGTCATCTTCTTTGTGCAATACGTATGTTTGACAGGTGCCCATGAGCACAATTTAGGAGGTGTCAGTGCTCAGCACTATTTATAGCTCAGTATTACAAAGATATAAATAAATAGAGTGGAATTAGCTAAACGCCTTAATATAGAAACCTGAGACAGGTACAGGGCCAAGCAGTCAGAATGGAAGTTTTCCAAAACTGGGAACTGTTGGAGTCCTATCAAATGCACTAAGTGACAGCTCCCAAGGGCAATGCAGGGTTAGGTCTGTGCAGAAGTAAATGGTGTGAAGCCTGGCACTCCTGAACTGCCTTGC